CAAGACAGCGCCCACGCCCGAGGCCGCCGGGGGCCTCCTGGGGGGCGACGGCGAGCGGCCGAAGGCGTCGTCGCCTTCGAGGCTGTCGCCGAGCATCGGAAAGCTGGCGATCTTTGCGGAAAAAAAGGGAAAGCTGGCGAAATAAAGACCAATTTGGAAATAAAAATGGAAAATGTTTCCAAATAAACCAAGTTTGAGGCCGAGAAATCCGAGTTTCGCCGCAAAATGGCGTTTTGGAATTGTCGAGTGGTGCAGAAAACCTGAACTGCGAGACTCCGCGCCCGTTCAACTCCGCCAAACTCCAGAACCTGCAAGTCTTCCGCGGAAACAAACGCAAATTCAATTTTACTTCGTCAAAAAATAATAAATTAATTCTTCAGAGTTCATTTCAGTGGCTGGAAGGAGCTGGAAAGCCGCCGCGGCTCCAGCATGCACGCCGACGCAGGGGCCCCAGCCCCAGCGGAACTTTCTGAATTTTAAACAAGACTGCGGAATAAAAGTGATTTAAATTCGAATTTTTTTGTTTTTTGTGCAGTTTCAAGAAAATAATTCAACTTTTTGCATTCATCGCGGCTTTCTCTCGCCCCCCGCCGAGGCACTTCCCGGGGAAGCTGGGATGATCTCAGTGCCTGGGGGCCTTCCTAAGCCAATTAAGTACTTTTTCGTTTCTTTTTTTCTTCTCTTTTCTTTATTTCCGAGTGCTTTCCGGTGTATTGACTTCAAGTTCCGGCCGCGGGGGCAATCTGCATGCCCACTCCACTCGCGTCTGAATCCCGCAGAACCAGTGGTCTCTCCTGCGTTTTGCCTCCCCCTGACGTTCAAAAGAAGAGAAAATCCAATTAAATGCGTTTTTAATTCAAATTCTGCAGGGCCAAAAGGACCAGAAAGCGAGGAAGCAGCAGCAGCAGCAGCAGCAGCAGCAGCAGCAGCAGCGGCAGCAGCAGCAGCAGCAGGCGGTGGGGGCGGGCGGCTGCGCAGTGCGTGCAGCAGCGGAAAACATGAAGTTCACCTTTACTTGAACTTGGGGAGGAGAAGCCAATTTGCTGCAGCAAAAATGGAAAAGAAACAAAAAGAAAAACAAAAAGAAGTTTTATTTCCTTCTCTTCTGAAGCTCGACAGACTTTGCCGATTGCTGCTCTCCAGCGAAAGCTGCGCAGACACCCCAACACAAATCTTGAATAAGGGCCTTTGGACCCACACGATACTTCCCGCGGCCTTTTGTGCCCTCGCGGGGGCCCCCCTGGGGGCCCCCGGAGGGGCCCCTGGGGGCCCCCCGGCCCCTCCGGGGGCCCCCCGAGGGGCCCCCGAGGGGGCCCCCGGAGGGGCCCCCGAGGGGGCCCCCTTGGGGGCCCCCGAGGGGGCCCCTGGGGGGCTTTGTTTGGGGGGAGAAAGTTCGGAAGAGTTGCGGAAAAGAATCAAAAAAGTACTTCAAAATGAAAACAGCAGCGCCGCTTTGCTGCAGCTCTGCTGCGACCTCCTTTCGGAAGCTGTGGGCATTCCCGGGGCGCCGGAGAGGTCTCATCTGCTGCCGCCCAGCGGGCAAGCAGCAGCAGCAGCAGCAGCAGCTGCTGCTGCTGCTGCTGCTGCTGCAGCAGCAGCAGGCGAAGTCCAGAGGGCTGCAGAGAAGCTTCTGGAGCTGCCAGATGATGAAATGATTGTTTTCATTGCCAAACAAATCAAAAGATTTCCCCTCGGGCTGCTGTCCGTGGCCCGCAGCAGACAGCCTGCGGAGCGAGACCTGCTGCACTGGCGAGAAGCTGCTGCTGCTGCTGCTGCTGCTGCTGCAGCGCATGCAGCAAAGCCCACTGACATCTCCGAAGTGCCTTTTATTCCGCAAGTGTTGACAGTTTCTCCCTTTTGGGTGGCGGAGCCGCAGCAGAAGAGGCGCAGCAGCGCCGCTGCGCCGGACTTGCCCGCGAGCCGCCGCCTCGAGGAATCCTTGCGGAAACTGCGGCTTCCGCTGGAAAAGGCGGCCTCAGCAGCAAATAAAAACAAAATTAAAGCAAATTTGCCGCAAATTAATTCCGTTGAAGAGGCAATTACGCCGTTTCCGACCACTTTCTGGCTCTGCAACGACCGGCTCAGTGCGCAGATCTCGGAAGTTGAACTGACGGGGTGGATGAAGGAAATGGAAAACGGACTTTTGGCGCAAGACGAGGATATTCAACTAAAACTTATTCACGATAACATTCGTTTTATTGCACTTCGATGGCTTTTAGTTCCGAAATTCCTGCTTTCGCACTTCTACGCGGCCAACCGCCGCTGCGCGGACTGCAGTGTACGTACACCCGAAGGTCTGATCTTTTCGGACTTGGAAAAGATGAACCGAAAGGGCTGCGACTCGAAGGAAGCCGAAGCGCCGGAGCAAACGGAAGAGACCAGTGGTCTTTTTGAAAAGGAAAAAGAAGCAGAAGAACTGAATAAGTGCAGCAAATGTTTGCTCTGCTGCTGCCGGCTCTGCAGACTCATGCAGTGCCTCCGACTGCGCGGCATGGGCGGCCTTTTGAACTTCTGCAGAATCCGCTGCCTCCACATGCAATATGCCTATCATTTGGTGTGCCCGACGACTCTGGGAAATATGATGGACGAATTGTTCAAACTTCACTTGCAAACTGAATAAATTTGAAAAGATTTGAAGTCCAAACTGGCACAGACGCTGCAGACTGGGGCTTCGGGCGCGCGGCTAGGCTGGCTCTGCACTAATGGACTTCTTTTGCGCTATAAAGAAAACTAAAAACTATTTAATTCATCTTTTTCAAATTAACTGCTGCTAAGTCTGCGGCTGCTGTACTCGCCCTCGGGCAAACGAGGCGTCTCAGTGAGACACCAGGCTGTGGCCGGGGGCTCTTCTGGAAAATCTGAATATTAATTGAATTCGATTTCCTTCATTGCAAAAATCAATTTGCATTTATTATTTGTTAATTTATTCATTATTTTAGGATGTTTGAAGCATATGTGCTGTGCTGCTTGCTGCTGCTGATCAGCTGGCCAGCATGCGCAGCCGCTGGCGCGGAGGCCGCAAGACGGGGGTGGCTGGGAAGGGATTTCGCGGGTAAAAATGCAATAAAATTGAATTTCTGAATTTAATTCAACAAATTAAAACATTAATTTATTAAAAAAAAGAAAAAGAGCGAAAATTTAACTGCGCTTTCCCCCCGCCCCTCGCAGACGTCGCTGCCGAGTGACTGTCGGCCACGGGGGTGGAAATGCGAAACACTGCGAGATTTCGACAGTTAATCTGAATTAAAAGACTTATTATTATTATTATTATTATTAATTATTTTGTGCATTTTTGAGGAGTTTTTAGCCGCGCGAAAACCTAAATGAGGGTTTATTTCCCCGCGCTTTCCCCCTCCCGCGGCTCCCCCTCGGCCGGCTGTTTTCCGCGAAAAACCCGCGGATTTTGCAAATGAATTTTTTAATTTGTTTTATTTGTTCAATTCATTTCATTTAATCCCAAAATCGATGAGCTTTCCCGAGGAAAAGCCGCTGTTTGGCGGCCCGCTGTTGGAAGGAAACCTGTGGGGTTCTGCACTATCTGAAACGGAGGTAAAAGCGGAAAAAGAAGTCGAAATTGAATTAAATCTCTCCAAACTTCCTTCTTTTTGCTGCATGCAACAAAACAAATCCTTTTTATTATTATTTTCGCATTTATTTCTCTCATTTCCCTCATTTGTTGCATTCAAGAAACAGTTCAGCAGCAATTCAAGAAATTCAAAAGTTGAATTGCGGCTGCAGCAGCAAAACGCACTCCTCCGGGCTCAAACTGAACGAATTCAATTCAATTCAGTTTAATTTAATTAATTTAATCAAATTAAATTAAATTAAATTAAATTAAATTAAATTAAATTAAATTAAATTAAATTGATTAAATTAATCAAAATGGTCCAGTAAATGCAATTCCTCAGTTCAGTCCTGCGCCGCCAGGAGGATCTTCTCGAAACTGAAGACGGCACTTCTTTGAATTCCTCTTCTTCTGCGGAAAGAGAAATAAAAGACTTTTTTGCAAATAAAGAAATTGAAATAATAAAAAGAAATAAAAAAGAAAAAACACAAAAAGAAAAAAATAAAAAAAAACACAAAAAAAACCACCACCTCCACGCACTACAAAATGAAACGCCGTGAGCCCCACAGCAGCAAAATTTAATAATGCTAACAAATGCAATTTCAGCATTTGGAGCTTCGTGCTGCTGCTGCTGCTGCTGCCCTTCTTGCTGCTGCTGCTGCTGCTGCTGCTGCTGCTGCTGCTGCTGCAATCGTTGCTGGTGCTGCTGCAGTGGCTAATACTGCTGCTGCAACTTCTGTTTCCTCATTTGTGTGCTCTTTTAATGAGTTTTCTGCTGCTGTTGTTGCTGCTGCTGCTGCTGTTGCTGCTGCTGCTGCTATTGTTGCTTCTGCTGTTGCAGCTGCTTTTGTTTCTCCTGCTGCTGTGGCTGCTGCTATTGTTGCTGCTGCTATTGTTGCTGCTGCTGCTGTTGCTGCTGCTTCTGCGTGTGTTGCCTTGCTGCTTCTCGTTGCCTCTTTTACTGCGATTGCTGCTTTTTTGCCGTTGCTGCTGCTGCTGCTGCTGCTGCTGCTGCTCTTGCTGCTGTTCCTGCTGTTGTTGCTGCTGCTGTTTTTGGTGTTCTCGCTGCTGCTGCTCTCTTGCTGCCGCCACAGCAGCAGCTTCCTCTTGGCCCTGCGCTGCCTTTTATTTATTTTAACTTTATTTTTTATTTTTGAATTTATAAAATAAAATTTATTTAATTTTTCTTTTTTCTCTTCAGCACGAATTTCAGGGCCACTTTGTCTGCAATGGAAGCAGAAGAGAACACTCTCACAGAGCTGCAGGTTTGGCCCTTTACACTTTTGAATCTGCTCTCTTCTAAACCCTAAACCCTAAACCCTAAACCCTAAACCCTCGAGGCGAACACTCAGAGGGGTGCTTCTGCAAAGCACTGCCCAAATGGCATTCGCCACGATTGGGAGAACCCGACTTTTTCAATTTCAGGCTTTATTGATTAGGGTTTAGGGTTTAGGGTTTAGGGTTTAGGGTTTAGGGTTTAGGGTTTAGGGTTTGGATTTTGTTGTTTGCTGCTGCGCTGCTTCAGAGCGCGTTGGAAGCTGACAGGCGAAATCACCGCCTTGAGGCTCAGCTAATTATTTTGCAAAAAAAGTTTGTCTCAAATCTAAGCTTTAGGGTTTAGGGTTTAGGGTTTAGGGTTTAGGGTTTAGGGTTTAGGGTTTAGGGTTTGATGGGGGCGAAATCCTTACCAGCGTAGCAGCACGAGAATTTCAGCACTAGGGTTTCGAAGTATGGTCAATTACACTGAAACTTCAGGATCAAGCGCTTACGACTTAGGGTTTAGGGTTTAGGGTTTAGGGTTTAGGGTTTAGGGTTTAGGGTTTAGGGTTTGGGGTGTACAGACACCAGGCTGAGCTGTCTGCGCTGCGGCAAGCAGCAACGGAAGAAGTTCTTTTCATTTCTAAAAAACTCAAAAATGCAGAAGCAGCACTTTCGAGGATTCGGGAGATTGAAGTGAACGAGCAGCAGCTCTTTCTGTGCGCCAAACCCCCACAAACCCTAAACCCTAAACCCTAAACCCTAACCCCTAAACCCTAAACCCTAAATTTTAAACTCTAAACCCTAAACCCTAGGTGCTGGTCAAGGGGGGCGCCACAGTGCGATGGCCTGCAGCTTCAGCGCCTTTGACTTTAAATAACTCGAATACTCTAAACCCTAAACCCTAAACCCTAAACCCTAAACCCTAAACCCTAATAGGGCCTTTAGCGAAGGAGCGTTTTCGCTAGCCGACTATGATGAATAATAAAGAAACGAACCTCCAACTCCATTCACTTTATTTATTTATTTATTTATTTATTTATTTATTTATTTATTTATTTATTTATTTATTTATTATTTCAGAAATCTGGAAATAACAAATGAAAAATATGAAGAACTTAAACTGCTGCCCCCCAGCAGTTTGTCGCTGCAGGATTTTGTCAAGATGAAGGCGAGCCTATTTATTTATTTATTTATTTATTTTTAAATTAATTAATTAATTAAATTAATTAATTAAATTAATTAATTAATTAAATTAATTAAATTAAATAATTAAATTAATTAAATTAATTAATTTAATTATTTAATTTGTTTATTTTTTGTTTAGGCCCATGAGATGGTAATGCCGTACAAAGAAAAGCAGCGACAGCTGGAACAAGAAATATATGACCTCACGTGAGATTTTGCTGCTGCTGCTGCTGCAATTGTTGCTGCTGCTGCTGCTGCTGCTGCAGTTGTTGCTGCTGTTGCTGCTGCTGCTGCAGTTGTTGTTGCTGCTGTTGCTGCAATTGTTGTTGTTGCTGCTGCTGCTGCTGCAGTTGTTGTTGTTGCTGCTGCTGCTGCTGCAGTTGTTGCTGCTGTTGCTGCTGCTGCTGCAGTTGTTGCTGCTGTTGCTGCTGCTGCTGCAGTTGTTGTTGCTGCTGTTGTTGCCGCTGTTGCTTCTGCTGCTGCTGTTGGTGCTGCAGCGTCTGCTGCTGCTACCATTGTTGCTGCTGCTTCTGCTGCTACTGTGGTTGCTGCTTCTGCTGCTGCTGCTGCTTTTGCTTCTTATTCTTTTTCTACTGCTGCTGCTGTTGCTGCTGCTGCTGCTGCTGCTGCTGGAGATCTTGCCCCAATAATACAAGCTGAGGTGTATAGGGAAGCTTCTAGCAGCTTGGCGCCCGAACGCTAGACCCTAAACCCTAAACCCTAAACCCTAAACCCTAAACCCTAAACCCTAAACCCTAATCATCTTGCTTTTATTTTTGCATCAGCAATGCCTTTGAAGAAAAGAAATGCGAGAATTGTGATTTGCTTTCGCAAGAAGTACAAACGCTACAGGTAAACCCCCAAACCCTAAACCCTAGACTCTAAACCCTAAACCCTAGCCCTAAACCCTTGCCCTAAACCCTAACCCTAAACACTAATATATGAAATAAGATCTCGAGCACGCAACTGAGACCTCTTAAAGGATTCAAAGCTCGATGCTCATCGTTTTGGGCCTATACTCTAGGGTTTAGGGTTTAGGGTTTAGGGCTTAGGTTTAGGGTTTAGGGTTTAGGGCTTATGTTTAGGGTTTAGGGTTTAGGGTTTAGGGTTTAGAGCTTAGGGTTTCGGGCTTAGGATTTGAGGGTTTGTAGGAAGCTCTGGCAGCAATGGAGAAAGACATTCAGCTCGAGCCTGAAGAGATAAGGCGAGTCAAAACCCTAAACCCTAAACCCTAAACCCTAAACCCTCGGCCCTAAACCCTAAGCCGTGCGCCCCCAAATTCAGCCCCTACGCTTCTAAGCTGCGGCTGCGAACCCCTAACCCTAAACCCTAAACCCTAAACCCTAAACCCTAAACCCTAGGTGTGATTTGGTTCTGTTCTTGACATTTATTCTTCTTCAGAAATGAGAACTCTGAGGAAGCCAAAGAGGCTGAGGTAACTTTTGCTGCTTCTCTTTGCCACCTAGCCAATTAAGAAGAGGGGGCTAGTAAACCCTAAACCCTTTTTTAGGGTTTGCGTGGCTGCCGCAGGCTGCAGGAGAGGCGCAGACAAAGGAGCCTTCGGCAGAAGCAACCGAAAAAAAGAAAGCAAGCCCCAAACACTTTCAATTAATTAATTAATTGGTTTATTTATGAATTAATAAATATAATAATAATAATAATAATAATAATAATAATAATAATAATAATAATAAATATATATATTTATTATTATTATTATTATTATTATATTGCATGCTGAGCGTCTCGTGTTGAAGTTCCGATTTTGAATTATTTGGTGGTTTTGGGGTGGAATTTGCTTCTTTTAATTCGATTTCTTCGGAATTAAAACAATAATTGCATTTTAATTGCATTTTAATTGCATTTTAATTCTTTTTTATCTCAAAAAAGTCCAAAATCGGGAAAAAATGAGAGCTTTCCGCGCGGCGGGTCTGCTGCGCCGCAGGCCGAGCTGCAGATACACCTGAAAAAAGCCCAAGACAAAATCCACTTTTTGGAAAAAGAAATTCAAAAATTAAAAACAGAAACAAAAACAAATACTTTTAAACTTGCTGCGGAGCACCAAAGCCAGCTGCTGCGCCTGCATGCACAGGCGAGACCACGATTTAGGGTTTAGGGTTTAGGGTTTAGGGTTTGGGGTTTAGGGTTTGGGGTTTAGGGTTTGGGGTTTAGGGTTTGGGGTTTGGGGTTTGGGGTTGAGCCGTTAATGCTTAGGAATAAGGGGGAAGAACTTTGCGGTTCGTGTTTATTGTTTATGGCCTAGGGTTTGGAATCTAGGGTTTAGTTAGGGTTTAGGGTTTAGGGTTTAGGGTTTAGGGTTTAGGGTTTAGGGTTTGTGTTCAGCACGAGGCGGAAAAGAAAGTGCTGCAAAGCGAGTTGGAATTCAAATTTAAATCTCAAGAAGAACAAATTCAGCGAAAAGCAGAAAAAGACCTGCTGCAGTACAAACTCCAAGTAACCCTAAACCCTAAACCCTAAACCCTAAACCCTAAACCCTAAACCCTAAAGCCTCGAGCCAAACCCTAAACCCTAGACAATAGTCACTATAAGCTAAATCCCAAACCCTCACATTGGGAGTGAGGGCTCTAATTATGATATCTGCTAATTACAGCCCTTTGTCTAAACCCTAGTCTTAAACCCTAAACCCTAATCTTAAACCCTAAACCCTAATTCTAAACCCTTAAACCCTCGCCACAAACCCTCGCCCTAAACCCTCAAACCCTAACCCTAAACCCTTGGGAAAACCCCGCGTCTGCGTAGCTGCAGCACCAAGCGACCTAACCCCAAACCCCAAACCCTAAACCCTAAACCCTAAACCCTAAACCCTAAACCCTAAACCCTAGGGGCTTTGGGGTGTATGTACAGCTGGACGCTGCGGAGACAAAGGCGGAAAGTTTGGAAGTGAAATATCATCATTCTGAAACTCGATATGAGGCAAGACTTTATTTATTTATTTTTATTATTTATTAAATATTAATTTATTTATTTATTTATTTATTATTTATTATTTATTATTTATTATTTATTATTTATTATTTATTCGTTTTCTTATTTTTTTACTTATTTTATTTGTTTGTTTATTTATTCATTGTTTATTATTTATTTGTTTAGTTATTTTATTTACTTGTTTATTTATGAATTATTTATTATCTATTTATTTACTTACTTATTCATTTATTTAATTTATTTATTTATTCATTTATTTAGTTATTTACTTATTTTATTTATCCATTATTTTATTTTATTTTATTTATTTCATTGTATTTATTTATTTATTTATTTTCAGTTGTTTGTCATTTGTTGTTTATTGGCGCTGCTGCTTCTCCAGTTGGCCAAATAAATAAATAAATAAATATATTAAATAAATAAATAAATAAATAAATAAATAAATAAATAAATAAATAAATAAATAATAAATAAAAACAATAAATAAATAAATAATTTAAATAATTTGAATAATTGATTTCTTCAGGAAGTTGCTTCTGCACTTTGCAAAACGCATGCAGCCCATCAAGAGTCTCTCGCGAAGCTTTCAGCTCAGGTTCAAATTTAGGGTTTAGGGTTTAGGGTTTAGGGTTTAGGGTTTAGGGTTTAGGGTTTAAGATTTAGGGTTTAGGGTTTAGGGTTTGGGGCTTAGGGTTTGCGCTGAAGAAGCAGCAGCGGGGAAACCAGGGTTCAGCTGTTTACTTGCAGTGCTAGGGGTTAAGGGTCTTGGGCCTAGGGTTTAGGGTTTAGGGTTTAGGGTTTAGGGTTTAGGGTTTAGGGTTTTGCTTGCAGCTGCAGCTGAGCGCTGCTGAGCTGCAGAAAATGAAAATTGCTTTTGAGGCTTCGAAAGAAGAAAAGGAAAAAAACGAAGACGAAATAAAACAATTGAAAGAAGAGCTGCAGGCCACGCAGCACGTAAACCCTAAACCCTAAACCCTAAACCCTAAACCCTAAACCCTAAACCTAGGCCGTAGTTAAGTTTTAGTATTTAATTCACTTTAAAAGTATATAAATAATTTTATTTATTTGTATCTTTTTTTCTGTCTTTCAGCCTATCAGGTGTACGCACACCTGGGCTCAAAGAGATCTGTTTATATCACACTGAACTTTAGGGTTTAGGGTTTAGGGTTTAAGGGTTTAGGGTTTAGGGTTTAGAGTTTGCGGTTCCGGGCCTGGGCTTTGGGGCTTAGCGTGCAGAGCGGAGGGTTTAGGGTTTGGGGTTTCTGAGGCTTGGGCCCCAGGTCTTGGGGCAAAAAGTGTCTAGCAGGTTTAAGGTTTAGGGTTTAGGGTTTAGGGTTTAGGGTTTAGGGTTTAGTGCGGCTGTTTAGGACTTGGAAGAGTCTGAAAAGAAAGCAAAAGAAGAAATGGTTTTGCTGCAAGAACTGAAAATAGAACTTGCAGCTTTTCAGAGGTTTGATGAAAGACTCGAACAGTGCTTCACCATGATCGTCGAGTCCGGTAACCCTAAACCCTAAACCCTAAACCCTAAACCCTAAACCCTAATTCCGATATCCAGAGTAGCCCGTAAACGCTACGAGACACTAAACCCTATTAAACCCTTAACCGTACCAGATCCTAAACCCTTCTAAATCCTAAACCCTACTGGACTTCAAACCCTACTAAACCCTAAACCCTACTAAACCCTAAACCCTACTACTAAACCCTAAACCCTCCTAAACCCTACTAAACCTGAATGCTGGAGAATAAACGCTGATAAGCCCTAAAAGGTAAAGCTTAAGCCCCACAAAACCCTAAACTTCGCTAAACCCTAAACCCTAAACCCTCGTAAACCCTAGACGCTGAACTCTTGAGCTGAAATGCTAAGCCCGTAGCCCTAAACCCTAAACCCTAAACCCTAGCTCCTTCACTTCCGGCTTTTCTCTCTTTTAATTGCTAAAGTATTTATTTAATTGTTAAATTAATTTATTTGTTTTTACTTTCTCCCATCTTTTGCTGCTGCGCAAGTTTGCTGCTGCGGCTGCGGAGCTGGGGTGTACGTACACCTCAGAAGGCCGGCGCGGCGGCGGTCGATCTTTTCCGATTTTTTTCATTTTTTTGAATTTAAAAGCCGAATTAGTGAAATAAAACATTTTAATTCCGTTTAATTCATTATTTGGGATTCAAAATGGTGCATTTAGTTGCATTTGGCGGTTTATTTTCCGGAATTTGGACTTCTTTCCGCAGAAACGCCCCCCAGCCAAGAACTCGTTGCCCCTTTTCTCAACTTGAAAATCCCCGGCTATAAACTGCTGCATAAAACCTTCAATTTGGCCTCGAGGCTTTTTGCTTTAAATCAAAAGTTCAAAAAAGTGGAAGTGAGCCTTTAAAGCAATTAAACCAATTAAAATAATGATTTAATGGATAAATGGCAATTAAATCCATTAAAATAATGATTTAATGGATAAATGGCAATTAAATTAGTTAAAATAATGATTTAATGGATAAATGGCAATTAAATTAATTAAAATAATGATTTAATGGATAAATGGCAATTAAATAAGTTAAAATAATGATTTAATGGATAAATGGCAATTAAATCAATTAATTAATAATTAATTTAACAAAAGCTTTTTAAATTCTTCATTAAAATCACCAAATTAGCGAAAAAATCAGAAAATTAATGGAAGTAATGATTAAATTAGGGAAAATTGTAATTGAATAATTTAAATAAAAATTAAATGAATGAAAAGATATTTAAATAAATGAAAAGAATTTTAAAATAAATGAAAAGGATTAAAAAGTAAATCGAAATGATTAAAAAATAAATGAAAATGGTAATAGAAGAAGAATGAAAATGATAAAAAGGAAAAGATGATTTAAGTGATTAAAAGTGATTATTAAAAAGAATGGAAATTATAAAAAATAAATCAAAATGATTATTAAAAAGAATGAAAAAATAATTAAAAGAAAGAAAATCATAATAAAAGAATAAAATTAAAAAGACTTGATTAAGCAAAAACAGGAAAAAAGATTTGTTTTGCTTTTCCACATGCCTTTTCAAAGTTTCATTTTAAAAGTAACTTTATTTATTTAATTATTTAATTAATTGATTATTTATTAATTATTTAATTAATTGATTATTTATTTATTTATTTAATTATTTAATTAATTGATTATTTATTTATTTATTTAAATTTGAATTCGAATTTGAATTTAAATTTAAATTTGGATTTAAATTCAAAAAAGAAATTTTTTATTTGCATGCAAAATCCTGGTGTATATTTTTGCATTTTAGAAACAACATGTTTGCTGTACGTACACCGCAATAATAAAACGTTCTTAATTTAATTCAATTTAATTTAATTTAATTTAATTTAATTTAATTTAATTTAATTTAATTTCTTTCATCTTATTTATTTTATTTATTTTATTTTATTTTATTTTGTTTTACTTTATTTTTCTTTTTTTGCGCAAAGTGCACATTGTTCAGGTGTACATACACCGCAGACTGTATTGCATTTTCCAAGTTGTGGATTTTATATTATTAAATATATTTTATTATTATTAAATATATTTTATTATTATTAAATACATTTTAGTATTATTAAACATATTTTATTATTATTAAATACATTTTAGTATTATTAAACATATTTTATTATTATTAAATACATTTTATTATTATTAAATACATTTTATTATTATTAAATATATTTCATTATTATTAAATATATTTTATTATATTTTAAAAACATTTATTTAACATTAATAAATACATTATATAGTGCTGCATTAAATTTGTCAGTTTCGCAGCAAAATGGAATTTATTTCTAAAGTGGAATTTTTTATAAATAAAAAATAATTAATTCTGCAAATTTAAAAGGCTTTTAAAAGCAAAATAAAGACAAAAACAAAGCAGACAAACAATTAAAATCGACACGCCGACTCCTCTTCCTGCTGCTGCTGCTGCTGCTGCTGCTGCTGCTGCTGCTGCTGCTGCTGCTGCTGCTTGCAGACTGAGCTGGAGGCGTCGGAGGCAAAGCGGAAGCAGCTGGCTGCGATGCTGCAGGCGGAGCGCTGCAGCAGCAGCAGCAGCAGCAGCAGCATTTGTTCTTTCCCTGAGCTGCGGGAGCGTTTGCTGCAGCTGCATGCAAGATGCATAGCAGCAGAAGCAGCACTAAAAGAAGAAATAAATAAAAATGAAATGCTGCAGCAGCAAAGAGCAGCGCTTGCCAGCGACCTCAAGAGGTGTCTAGACACCCGAACTGAAATGCAACGCTGCATCGAAGCTGCTGCAACAAACAGCGCATGCATTTGCTGCTGCGTCCTGCAGCAGCAGCAGCAGCAGCAGCAGCAGCAGCTGCAGACGCAGCAGGAGCAGCAGCCAATTCCAAGTGTGGGACAGCAGCTTCAGCAGCAAATGATGCACCAACCGCAGCACATGCAGCGACAGCAGCAGCAGAATCAGCTGCAGCAGCAGCAGGAACAGCTGCAGCAGCTGCAGCAGCAGCAGCAGCAGCAGCAACAGCAGCAGCATTGCCAGCAGCAGCAGCAGCAACTGGCATCGACATCCTTGCTTAAAGCAACACTGCCTTGCCTACAACAGCAGCACTTGCTGCTGAGACACGCGAGCCAGCTGCAGCAGCCTTTTCAGCAGCAGCAGCTTCTGCAACAGCAGCAGCAGCAGCTGCAGCAGCAGCAGCAGCTGCAGCAGCAGCTGCAGCAAGGATGCCCGGTTTATGAAGAGCAAACAAAGGCTAGTACATCTTCTGAAGGGCCAAGCAGCAGCACCACTGCAGCAAGCTGCTGCTTCTCAGGAGCTAACCGCAGCAACAGCAGCAGCAGCTGCAGCAGCAGCTGCAGCAACAGCAGCAAATGCTGCAGCTGCAGCAGCAGCTGCTGCTACAATGTGCCCTCTGCTGAGAGCCATGTGCCAGCTGCAGCAGCAACAGCAGCAGCAACAGCAGCTGCAACAGCAGCAGCAGCAGCAGCAGCAGAAGCAGAAGCAGAAGCTCCTCGGCATCACCACCGAAAGAAATGTAAATTTCATTCCAGACTAATAAGCAAGGAAGAGACAGGAGCTGCTGCTGCTAGTTTTGGTGCTGCTGCTGCTGCTCTGCTGCTGCAGCAGCAGCAGCAGAAGCAAAAACAAGTAGAAGCAATGCAGCACTTACGGTGTACTGACACCGCAAGACACCCAGGCAAGCAGCTGTCTTGCTGCGTTGCTGCTGCTGCTGCTGCTCCTGCTGCTGGCTGCTGCGCTGCTGCAAAAAGCAGCAACTGCTGCTGCAGCTCGAAACCAGCAGCAGCTGCAGCAGCAGCAGCACACAGCAGCAACAACTGCAGCATGTCTGCGTCTTCTGTACCCTAAATAACCCCAAATGCTGCAGCAGCAGCAGCAGCAGCAGCAGCAGCAAAATTTGTTTTCCCTGTTCTTTGCCCAATGCCGCATCTCACTGTGCTTTGCAGCAGCAGCAGCAGCAGCAGCAGAAGCAGACCATGGCAGCAGCAGCACTAACCATAGCAGCAAGCAGCAGCAGCAACCATAGCAGAGAGCATCAGCAGCAACTGCTGCAGCAACTCGCAGTAAAAGCAGCAACAAGTAGAGCAGCAATAAACAGCAGAAGCAGCATCAAATGCTGCCAGCCGATGCAGCACTAGCAGCACTAGCAGCAGCACGAACGGCAGCAGCAGCAGCAGCAGCAGCAGCAGCTGCAGCAGCAGCAGCAGCAGCAAAGTCCAAACTCCAATCTTAGCTCTCAAGAGTTGGATAAAAGGAAAAAATGAAAACGAAAAAAACTGAGGGAAGCCAACGGTGAGTATAAACGAAGCAGAAGGCTTTAACACTGCTGTGCATTTGCTGCTGCTACTGTGCTGAGCACCGCAGCAGCAGCAGCAACTGCTGCTGTAGCTCCAGGAGCAGCTCCAGCAGCTGCTGTTGTAGCTGCTGCAGCTGCTGCTGCAGCAGCTGCTGCAGCAGCAGCAGCAGCTGCTGCTGCTGCTGCTGCTGCTGCAGCCGCTGCGGCACTACTAGAAATGCGCCTCTTTAAAGGAAATGAAGAGCAGCAGAACTGCAGCACAATTGAGCTTTGGAAGCAAAACTAAAATGAAATAATGAAAATGAAGAACAGCCGCTGCTGCTGCTCTCGGGTGTACAGACACCTCGACACTTCTCCAGGTGTCCCGGCACCTTCTCGGGTTGTTTCAGCTGCGCAGGCTGCTGCTGCTGCTGCTGCTCTTGCTGCTGCTGCTGCTGCTGCTGCTCTCGCTGCGGCTGCGGCTTCCGCTGCTGCTGCGCTGCTGCGGCTGCTGCTGGTGTTGCGGCTGCTGCTGCAGCTGCTGCGGCTGCTGCTGCAGCTGCTGCTGCCGCCGCTGCTGCGGCTGCTGTCCTTGTTGCTGCTGCTGCTGCTGCTGCTGCTGCCTTTCCTGCTGCATGCATGCAACTTATTCGGTGGGAAGCAAATTAGTTTGAGGGAAACTTCATTTCGGGTGTACAGGCAAACTTGGCTCTTGAGGTGTACAGACAGCTCGCGGCACTTCAGGTGTATAGGCACCTCCCGGGTGCACTAGGTCCGCATACACCGCAGAGCACTTCAATTAAATTCAAATCAAATTAAATCACTTTTATTATTTCTTTCTTTTTAAATTATAAATCACTTCTCGGCAAATGCATTTAAATCGCTCCTACAGGCCGCCGCACCCTCAAGCATGGCCAAAGGCACTGATGCATAGCTAGCTAGCCACCCAGCTAGCTAGCTAGCCACCCAGCTAGCTGGCTACCCATCTAGCTAGCCAGCTAGCTAGCCACCCATCTAGCTAGCTAGCTAGCCAGCTAGCTAGCTAGCTAGCTGGGCGCTTCACTGAAATCCATCGCGCTCCCCCGCGGCACTGGCTCGCTGGCCGCCCAGAAAGCTGCCTGGCTAGCTGGAACTGCTCAGCTAGCTAGCCAGGCAGCTAGCTGCTGCAGCAGCTCAGCTAGCTAGCCAAGCAGCTAGCTGGTGCAGCAGCTTGCCAGCTAGCCAGCTAGCTAGCTGCTTCCGCTATGCCGCTGGCTAGCTACCTAGCTAGCTAGCTAAGCAGCTAGCCAGCCACTTAGCTAGCTAGGTAAGTAGCTCGCTGGCTAGCTGGGCAGCTCCGTGGCTCACTGGCTAGCTAGCTAGCTAACTGGCCAGCTATGTAGCTAGCTTGCTGCTGAAGCATCGACCCCGTCGCTGCCGCTGCTGCTGCTGCTGCTGCTGCAGCTGCTGCTGCTAGCGCTTATCCCTCCTGCTGCTGCATGCCCTGCACGGCTCCTGCTGCTCCTACGGTTGCTGCTGCTGTTTTAGCTACGGTTGCTGCTGCTGTTGCTGCTACGGTTGCTGCTGCTGCTGCTGTTGTTGCTGCTACGGTTGTTGCTGCTGCGGATGCTGTTGTTGCTGCTACGGTTGCTGCTGCTGCTGCTGCTACTGTTGTTGCTGCTCGGCTGCTGTTCCTGTCGCTGTTGCTACGGTTGCTGCTGCTGCTACGGCTGCTGTTGCTGTTGCTGCTGCTGCTGTTGCTGCTGCTGACGGAAGAAAAAAGAACACTGTTTGTCGGTCATGAGAAGTAGCACTACAAATATTCCCGTTCCACGCTGCCGCTGCTGCTGCTGCCTTTGCTGCTGCTGCTGCTGTCGCAGCTGCTGCAGCGGTTTCCCATGCTGCTGCTGCTGCTGCTGCCGCAGCCGGTGCAGCGGCTTCCGATGCTGCTGCTGCTGCAGCTGCTGCAGCTGCTGCAGCTGTTTCCGATGCTGCTGCTGCTGCTGGTGATTTGCTGCTGCTGCTGCCACTGCTACGTTTGCTGCAGTTGCTGCCTTTGCAGCAAATCCACCGCTCTCTCTCCGGTTGCTGGTTTTGCTGCTGCAGCTTTTGCTGCAGCTTTTGCCGTAGCTTTCGCTGCAGCTTTTGCTGCAGTCCTTGCTGCAGTTTTTGCTGCAGTTTTTGCTGCAGTCCTTGCTGCAGCTTTTGCTGCAGCTTTTGCTGCAGTCCTTGCTGCAGCTTTTGCTGCAGTCCTTGCTGCAATTTTTGCTGCAGTTTTTGCTGCAGCGTTTGCTGCAGCTGCTGCTGCTGTTGCAACTCCTGTTGTTGCTGTTGCAACTGCTGCTGCATTCAGTGCTGCTTCCTTGCTGCTGCTGCTGCAGCTGTTACAGCTGCTGCTGCTTTCCTGCTGCAAGTTTTGCTGCAGTTTATGCTGCCTTCATTACTGCTGCTGCTGCAGCTTTTGCTATCAGCTGCAGATGTTTCTGCTGCAGTTAATGCTGCCGCTCTTGCGGCTGCTGCTGCTGCAGCTTTTGCTGCAGTTCATGCAGCTGCTTCCACTGCTGCAGCGTTTGCTGCAGTTGGCGCTGCTTTTACTGCTGTTGCTGCAGGCAAACCTGCAGTTTCTACTGCTGGCTTTGCTGCTGCTGCTGCTGCTGCTGCTGCCACAACTATTTCCAAAGCGGCTGCTGCTGCCCTTGTTTGGTCCTCTGCTACGGCCTCTTCTCTGCCGCACCTGCTGCATTCCTGCTGCTGCTGCTGCTGTTGCTGCTGCTGCTGCTGCTGCTGCTGCTAGCCCACAGTTACGTAATAGTCCAACGGCTCTCTGACCAGCGCGTTTGCTGCTGCCACTTCTTCAGGCGTGACTCTAAAAGGCAGCACAACGCCTCCCGCGCTGCTGCTGCTGCTGCTGCTGCTGCTGAAATCGCCTGCAGCAGCAGCAGCAGCTGCTGCTGCAGGGCACGTGGGAGAGAAATCCCCTCCGTCCAACTCTGCTACGCTGTACCATTCCCTCAGCATGGAAATAGGAGCCCCCCAGGCAGCAGATGGGTTTGCTGCTGCTGCTGCTGCTGCTGCTGCTGCTGCTGCTGCTTCTGATGCTGCAACTGGTGCTGCTGCAGGTGTCGAGAGCTGTGCAGGTACGGAATCTACCCCTGGAACAGCGCCAGAAGCAGCAGCAGCAGCAGCAGCAGCAGCAGCAGCAGCAGCAGCAGACCTCTGCCTCAAGCCGTAATAGCTGCCATCTTTCTCCCGTGTCTTCTTAGCAGCAAAATGAAAAGGCTGTGGGGTTGCCAGCGGCAGCACAGCAGCACGCCGCAGGAAGCGTTTGCTGCCAGCTTCTCTTTCAAGAGTTCGCTTCCCTCTCTGTCCTGCTGCTGCTGCTGGCGTCCGTGCTGCTGCTGCTGCTGCTGCTGCTGGGGCTGCTGCTGCTGCTGCTGGTGCTGCTGCTGCTGCGCATGCAGCAGCTGGCAGCGAGTACTTGCTGTCTGTCGCGGCATCTGCTGTCACATCCCAGCTACAGAACCCTTTGCTGCTATCGCAGAGCTGCTGCTGCTGCTGTTGCTGCTGCTGCTGCAGTTCGTGCAGCTCTTGCTGCTGCGTCAGGAGAAGTTGTTGCTGCAGCTGCTGCTGCTCGGGCAACGGGAGGTGGTGCTGCTGCATTTGCTGCTGCTGCATCTGCAGCTGGAGTTGGTGCTGCAATTGTTGCTGCTGCAGCTGTTGGTACTGCAATTGCTGTTGCTGCTGCAGCAGCACCTGCTGCTGTTCAGTGTATGTAAGGCTGGGGTTCTGCTGCTGTTGCTGCTGCTGGTGCTGCAGTTGCAGCAGCTGCTGCTCCTGCTGCTGCAGTTGCAGCAGCTGCTGCTCCTGCTGCTGCTGCTGGTCTTTGCCTGTCAAGTAATATGAGCCCACGGGAAGCGCACTTTGAGGGCCAATGAGGACAGAAGAAGGCGGAGCAAAACTTTGCTGCAGCAGCAGCGGCTGCTGCTGCTGCTGCTGCTGCTGCTGCTGCTGCTGACGCTGCTTCTGGGGCTGCTGCTGCTGCAGGTTGATGGCTCCCAGACGCTCGGGGAGGCACAGGAAATCGTCAGCCCCACAAGCAAAGCTGCTGCTGCTGCTGCTGCTGCTGCTGCTGCTGCTGCTGCTGCTGCTACAGACTGTTGGGGATAGAGCATCTGTGGGAATCAACAGCGGGGAAGCAGCAAGGCGGCTCTCGTTGCAGCTGTCGCAAGACAAAGCCGGAGAGACAATAACAGGTGTTGCTGCACCTCCTGCTGCTGCTGCTGCTGCTGCTGCTGCTGCTGCTTTGCTTGCTGCCACAGCCTTGTTTGCTGCTGGTCCTTTGCCTGCTGCTGCTGCCTTGCTTCCTGCTGCAGCTGGTGCATTTGCTGCAGTTCCTGCTGCAGCAGCAGCAGCAGCATCCGCGGCCTCTGAGCTGCCTATACACTCCAGTGCCTTCATGCCTGCCGCTCTAACGCGCATTTCGCCTACAAACAAAAACCCCAAACCCTAAACCCTAAACCCTAAACCCTAAACCCTAAAATCCCAAAAACCCCGAAAGCCTTCAAAGCCCTAGAAGCCCTAAGAACCCCAAAAACCCCACACCCCAAAAACTGCAAACCTTACATCCTGAACCCCACATCCCACACCCCAAACCCTAAACCCCAAACCCTAAACCCTAAACCCTAAACCCTGTCTTACCCCTAGCTCCTCTGAGATGCGCGTTGTGTTTCTTGCTTTCCTGCGCATGGCTGTGTGGCTGCGGAGCGGCAGCGGGAGTGGCGGCCGCGCCCGCTGCTGCTGCTGCGCCGCCGCTGCTGCCCGCAGCAGCAGCAGCAGCAGCAGCAGCAGCAGCAGCAGCAGCTTCGGCGTGGCGGCGACTGAACAGCAGCCACTGCAGCACGCGAGCCGGCAGCTGCGCTGCACCCCCCCTGTAAGGCCAACCCCCTGCTGCTTCGTCGGGCTCGGGCAGCCACGGGGGGCAGTCTTCGAAGCGGCGGGGCAGCACGAGGCGGCAGGCGGAGGCGCAGCGCAGCACCAGCCGCAAAGTGCTCACGCGCACGTCCTGCAGCAGCAGCAGCAGCAGCAGCAGCAGCAGCAGCAGCAGCAGCAGCGGTGGGGGCGCTGCTCGTCGTCTCGCCGCTGCTCCACGAGGCCGCGTTGTGCCGACACCAGCACCAGCAGCAGCACCAGCAGCAGCACCAGCAGCAGCACCAGCAGCAGCACCAGCAGCAGCACCAGC